AGACTGGAGGAGTTAGATGGCTGATTCCCTGCGGTACGAGATTGTATCTAGGGGCAGAGTTGCCTGGAGCCGCTCCAGGTCCAGGTGGCTTCCAAAATCCATCATCTGGATGACGCCTCCCTCCTCCTTAGTGCTGCCTCCTAACACCACACCCACTTCGTCATCATCTTCATCTTCGTCTTGACTGACAAGAGCCAGCTCATTTTCATAGCAGAAGGCACTGGGAGGTGGGGGAGAAGGTAGGATAGTCATCTTGCTTTCTTGCAGCTCCCGGGCTGAGCAGCAAGGTGTGCCGGCTACCTCGTAGGTCTTGTGAAAGCGTGAATAATCCACTTTGTAGTGGTTCTTCTCCTCAAACACAACAGGTTCAAAGCGATGACCCCAAAGGATTTCACTAGCAAGGTAAGAGCTTCGTGCTTGTGTGGTCATGGCTGTGGCTTCCACCATCCCCTCAAGGATAACAACAATCTCAAAGTTCTCCGTCTCCAGCTCCTCCTTGCCAATCCCATAAAGTGGACTCTCCTCGTCAATCTCATGAACGATAATAATGGGTGAGACCAAAAATATACGATCAAGGCCCACATCGTAGCCCACATTTAGGTCCCGCTGGTCCAGTGGGAGATATTCCCCTTCCTCTGTCATGTAGGGCTTGATGAGCTGGGCTCGGACATGGGCCTCCACAATGTGGCTCCTCCTCAGGTTGCCCACCCGCCACATGAGGCACAGTTTGCCATCCCGCACGGAGATGACTGCATGGTGACTGAAGAGGAGAGTCTGGGCCCTCTTCTTGGGCCTTGCCATCTTGGCCATGATAGTGCCAATCATGAAGGAGTCAATAACGCAGCCCACGATGGACTGGACCACAACTGCCATGATAGCCAGCGGGCACTCCTCAGTCACGCAGCGGAAGCCATACCCAATGGTTGTCTGTGTCTCCACTGAGAAAAGAAAAGCCCCTAGGAAGCTGTTCACGTGCATGATGCAGGGCTTGAGGAGAGAGGGACTGCCTCCCACTGCTGGTGCATTGAGGTCACCATGGAAGAAAGCGATGCACCAGAAGAGGAAGCCAAAGAAGAGCCAGGAGACCAGGAAGGCAGCAGAGAAGATCATAAGCATGTAGCGCCAGCGCGTGTCCACACAGGTAGTGAAGATGTCGGCCATGTAGCGCTGAGACTTGTTGCTCAGGTTGGCAAAGTAGACATTGCACTGCCCATTCTTCTTCACAAAACGGTTGCGGTGCTTCCGCCGGGGGGCATGGCCCTTCCCATTCCGGCTGTGCCCGTTCATGCTGCCCAGAGCAGAGACCTTGTGTCCATCCTCTTCAGTTGAGACGATGCTGTACCTGGAAGAGAAGAAACAGGCATTGCCAGCAGAAATACATGAAGAATAACAGCAACCACTGAGACAGCGAGGGCGGGAGACGTGTGGGTGGCTCACATGGCTACGGTACCGCTGTGTTGAATATCACAACAGCACGTTTCCCTGGTTATTGCACCGTGGTGCCACCCTGACCAAATTGGTGGAGCTCGGCTGCAATATTTGTCAAGTCTTGCTGCCAGGAGGTTGTATCTATGGAAGTCCTGACAGGGCAGCAGAGCAGCAGAAGCTTGTAGCACTGTGCTACCTTCCAGCCTTTGCGGTGGGGAGGGATCCAAGGCTTTGAAACCTGGCAGCAGCTGGGACAGCCAGGAACCCCAGGAACAAGCACTCGCAGTATGGCCACACTTTGGCCCTGGCATTACATAAGGCCTGGATTTTCTGTTTTCTCCTCCCTGCTTTCATGGTGCATTGGTGACAATGTTTATACGCTTCCTGAGCTCAGGACAATTCTGTTGCCACAGCAACGCGCGTGGCTCCCAGTATCCTGCATCCGAAGCCAAAGGTGTAATTTGGAGATCAACAGCCAAAAAGTGCTGGCAGTTTCCCTGACAGAAGCTCCACACACATTTTCTGGGAGACATTTGCCCCTCCAGCTCCCCTCCCTCGCAGGCAGCACTGCTGCTCCCCCTCACAGGCTGCTGGGATAGTTGTAGATACTCCTTAAAGATGTGATGGCAGAAGATGCTCTGACCACTGAGGAAATCAAGCAAGTACACAGACGCACAAAGACCACTCTGCCGTCCCAACCACTAAGCCACAGCCTCCCAGGACCCCTCAAGCTGGCAGTGTCTCCCTCCCATCCATAGTGTTGACACATCAGCTGGAGCCCTCCTTCATAGGTTTTGTGACCCCCATCCTCATCTCATGGTGAGGGAAGCACTGGAGGCTGGAGCTGTGCTTCCTGGGGACATGGGCTTCTGCAGCAATGCTGGAATCTGTAGTTTCTGGTCCAGCACCATGCACTGCTTTGCTTCTCCATACCACTTCTTTGATCACTGTCCCCCTGTACAGAATGTTTTGGATTGGAGAAAGAGAGAGGAGCCAGGAGCAGGAATAGACCCTGGCAGATGATTTGAGAAGACTATACTGAAAGACAGGCTGAAGATAGGACCTGAGGGGCCAGAGGAGGAGGAGCAGGCCACCCAGGGCAGCAGCATCCTGGAGAGGAGGGTTACTCACCGGTTGACTCGGACGCTGCCCATGGCTCGCTGTATCATCAAGTGTCAGGGGGCTGCAGCTGGGAGGGCGCAGGATCTCATGCAGCAGCACTCACATGGGACCCAGTGGCTCCAGGTTTCACCTCTGGCGAGCTGGGACCGGCGCTGCCATTGCAATTGCTCTTGGGCACGTGCCTTGCAGGGGAGGATGAAGCAAAACCCAGTCAGAGCATCCCTTGACAGCACCCTTCCCAGTCTCAGAGCAGGGGGCACACAGCTCCCAGCCTTTTGCTCAGGAGGGGCCTGGAGTTGTCCATGGAGGGGTCCACTGCAGTCTGGCTGGAGCAGGTTAGGAGCTGATGGATCAATGGCCCACAGCCCCCATGCTTGCCGACATCTACTGCCAGGAGAAGGGCAAGGCCAGACGGTCACCACTCTCCAGATCAAGGGCACAATGGTCGAGCAGCTTGCGCGGCCCTTGCTCTGAGCTACTATATTAATATCATAGCTTACAGGAGGACGAGAGCTCAGCCAGGATAAATACCTCACACAGAAGGACTAATGAAGCATGGACATGCACGGCAGCCCTCAAGTATCCCCATCAGCCCAGCCTGACCCAGAGGGAATTTATTTCCAGGGGGTGCAGAGCATCCCTCCTGTTTCAAAGAGAAGAAAAGCAACGAGCAGAGCCAAAAGGGAGAACTGATGGAAAGTAAGGGCTTAGGGGTAGCCAAGGAGAAACTGGTTAGAGCAAACAAACCTTATGATGTGCCCTGTGTACAGCATCCAACGAGCAGCTCAGCAGCAGAGCCCTGGAGAGGAAGTCCAGCAGATGTTATGTCCTGACCCAGTTCTCCCCAGACAGAAGAATGGGGAAAACGAAGACTTAGGAGCCGACCTATCCTGCCTGCCCAGAGCTGCTGGGAAGTGAAATGCAGTGAGGGGGTAATGACTCACAGATTAGGAAGGGCTTTGTACACCCATGCTAATCCTGCACTGTAACCTTTGGATTACAGCAGTCAGTGTAGAGCGCAAGACACAGATAGAGCCAGTTAGTTTGCTTCCTCCCAACCTCAATGATGAGCAACCAATGGTTGCCCTATATGGGACAAATCCAAGGATCTGGAGGTCAAATCCAAGGTTTAGAGCTGCCTGTGAGTAGTCGTGCATGGACAGGAGAGAAAAACGGCAAGTGATGTCTGGGATGGAAAAGCTGGTGAGAGCCATCCTTGCCTTATCATCATTATTGCAGATTGGGGCTTCATGTGGCTAGGGGTGGCCACCACCTTCCCCCAGTTAGGAGCACAGACAAGAAAGCAGCAAGTGATGTGCAAGCACTGCTGTTGTCATGTCTGGGGTGAAGATTAACCAGCAGTCTCTCCTCCAGAGACCAAGGTTACTGAGGCACTTTAATCTCTGTGGCAACATAAACATGGTTGTCCAGACCAAGGATATTATGGGACCAGGAGAACACAGCTACCCTGTAGTCCACAGCTCACCATATAGAGGTAGAAGTGAACAGCTTCCTAAAAATTCCCATCAGGAAAAAACACTTTGGCACTGAACTTTGCCAGCACCCACCCCCACACTGCTCTACAGCATCCAAGTCTTAAAGGAGGGTTGGTTTGGACAGATACAGGAAATTTGGTTATGCAGCTGGGTAAACCTACAGCAGAAACTGGGGTTGGTAGCAGAAATTCATCAGAAATGTAGAGGGATGACCAGGTGATGAGGAAAGGTCACTTTGTGCTCACAGATGGTTCTGCTAGTATAAAGCTAAGGCATACTCTCAGTGATTACGTGGTGAGTTTCTACATCAGGCTCCTGCAGGTCTTTAGGGGGTGACAAAGGCAGGCAATTTAGGTATACCCCTCTAAGACAGCTCCAGCCAGGAGAGGAAGGGCATCTTCTGCAACTGGTGCCTTCCTTAGGCAGCCTGGATAAGCCACGCTCATCCTTAGCCAGCACTGACGCTGACACCAGAGGAAAGGCACTGCCACAGCTCGCAAGTATGGATACTTCACAACTGCCTAAAGGTTTCTCACCACCTTTGTCACCACCTCGCCACCACGACCCTTTCCCCTACTGCAGGAACAGATGCACAATTTCTAGAGATTTTGGATATCTGGCCTAGGAGGTAGCTACAAAAGAAGTAGAAGGAGGACCTAAGGAGCATCTGCTCACTGCAACCATGTGCAGTAGTCTGCTTCTCACCTTCCCCACCTCACCGAGGAGGGGCAAAGGAACCAGATGAAATGCAAAGGAATTGCTCATCTCCATTTCTAGCTGGTACAGCTGCAGGAAAAGGTGGGCACACTGTTTAAGAGTGCTGCATCCCATGCTGCTGTGCTTCCTCCTGGCTGTCACATGGGAGCCCAGGGCAGCCAGAGCTGTGGCACAGTCTGTTGCAGTATGTTGCCCACCACAGCTGGACCTTCCAGCCTGGGAAACATTTGCCGCTGGGTCCACAGCTCCAGAACAAAGCTAAAACTACATCCCTACCTGCAGTTTGTACTTAATCACAAGAAATAATTTCCATGAAGAATAAAGGCTACAAATCTGAACACACATTCAAGCACATGAGAGCAAATGGTTTTAATATAGGCTGCAGTGGGAGACCCGTGGTCTTGATCCATACACTCTTCTGTAGGACCCGAGTTCACGGCTCTTCTCCTGCTTCAACTTTATGAATTTCGCCCATAGATTCAAGGACCTCAGCAACAAAATGCAGCAACTCTTCTCCAGAGGTGAGCTGTTTGATGGACCAGTTTGCACACATTATTACCTCATGGAGGTTCCACGAGGAAAAATCTATGTTGTGTTTCATTGCTCCCAGGTCAGGTGTTTGGCCTGCTTTCAGGTTTTCATTCTCTGCCTTGGAGCTCTCCAGCTCTCCCTGGAGAATAAAGATCTTCTGCTTCAGCTTTTCCACATTGCTTTCTGCCTCCAGATCCCGGTGGGTCGTTAGATGGAGGTTCCACTCACTCTGCTGGGCAAAGGTCTGCGGCTCTTGGGCATCCCTCTCTTCTTTGGCCAGGCTGGCCTTCAGCTGCCTCTGCAGCTTCTGTATCATGCACACCTGGCTCTTCATGAAGCTCTGCATGCTTTCAGTATCCTTCTGAGCATGGCATTCTCCTCTCTGAGCATGTCGTTGGTCAGCTGCAGCAATTGGAACTGCCTGTCCCTGATGGCCTCCTCATACAGCATGTGGGGTCCTGCTCCCTTGATATGTTCTGGGTACCCCAGATAAGGGTCACTGGCATGGGCCCTCAGGGAAAAGGCATCAATCCCCGAGTGATTGCCCATGCTACACTGGAAAGAGTCATAGGAGCCACAGGGTTCCATACTTGCTGTTTGGAGGATGTGTGACCTTTGATGCACAGGGAAGTGACAGACTCAGCTGTGTTCCTCATCTTCGGACAAGCTGCCAACCCTTTTCATGTCTTTGTTAAATGGTGTCTGAAACTCCTGAGCTTCCTCCTCAAGCTCCTGTGCATACTCAGCCAACTTCCCAGCATAGGTTCTATTTTTCTCGGCTTTGTCTTCCACCATGTGAGAGTGCTTAGAATTTAGGGAAAATGGGATGGCTTCTCCTAGATCCTCCACCTGATTATCACTCAGATTCTCGTAGCTCTTGGACTGCAGTGGAGGACACACAGAGTGGCAGGAGTAGCTCAATTCATCATCAGCATCATCATCATCTTCCAAACCTTGAGATTCTGGGCAGACCCTCTCCGCTGTCCCCGAGGTGTCAAGCAGCCATGGCATTTTCAGGATGCTTTGGGCTGCAGCAAGCAGGAGGATCCAGATTACCCTCTTGGGGGTAAGTGACACTGACAAGCAGTGTGCCAACTTCTGCAGCCCCAGCGACACTCGTGGGGGAAGAAACAGATGCCTAAATCCCCCCCCACCCCCTACCAATGTGTTTGGGAGGGAGTGGAGAGAAGGTCCATGCATCTCTGTGTGTGTATTTTGGAGAGAACAGGAATCACCAGGTATGCGATGGCACCATGTGACTGCTGTCAGGTCATGACCACGGGGGAGAGGAACCAAACAACTGCAGAAGTGCCCCTTTTGGCAGCTGGGTGATAATCTGGATCCTCATGGTCTGGACCAGACTCCAGCTAGGGGATGCTGCCGGTGGGTAGAGAATAGCTCATGAAGCTACCCAAGACCTCCAGTGTGCAGGGGGGACAGGGACCAGCTGGCCCTAGCAGGCAGCATAGGGCAGAGGGGACAACCCTGCCCTGCAGGCTACTGAGGCTTCTCAAGCTGCAAGATCAAGCCAAGGGCGTTTTGGTGCCAGGGCTCACTAAAAAAAGACATCGCCAGCGCTTTGTCCAGAGGCATCACCCAAAGGCCCGTGCCCAGTGAGGGGTCTGCACCATGGCACTGCTGATCTGATTCATCCCCTGCTGCCAGCTGGCGCAGGGAAGCGTTAGTAATGCCGGGCGACACAAACTCGGAGCGGCACGAGCCAGGAGACGAACAAAAATAAACCTGCTTACCACTTCCACCCCAACACACCCCCACTGCGTGCGGTGCCTCCACGGGTGAGGCAGACAGGCAGGAGAGAAGCCCTGGGCTGGGGACTGCCATTGCATTGGGCTTGCATTCAGAGGTGCCACACCAGGAGGTGATGTAGCCACTGTCCCCCCTTCAGCAGCTGGTGACCCAGGGCCGCTGCTGACATCCCAGCCTGCACAATGGATGCTGGCAGCTTGGTTAGGCCAGGGGTTGTACCAAGAGGCCAAACCCTAAGAAAGCTCAGTTCAAATGGCTGTGCAATGGTCCTGTTGCTCCTTGGAAACCCGAAACACAAATGGGATGAAGGTGGAAGGCTCAGAGATGCCTCCAGCAAAAGGGGGGTTTCAGACCCTGGACAGGCAGATGCCTATCACATGGATGAGGGGGAGGAAAGCCTGATAAAGGACAGAAATATAAATCTTGCAGCATGGCTGAGGACCTTGGAGCTTGCTCTGCCTCCTGGGACCCGCATGTGGAAGGGAGCCAGGGGGTCAGCACTGACCCCTGGGGAGTTGGATGAAACCACACTGGTGGTTGCAGCATGGGTGCCCTGGGAGATGCTAGGCAGGATGCTCCTGCATCCCTCTGCTGCCCTGTCCTTGGCATACATCAACACCCACCTATTTCACGGCCTGAGGAAGCCCCCTGTCACTTTGGGAAGCCGCTGCAGCATGGACATTGTAAGCGCTGTCTTGCAACACTGAAGCTGGCAGCCACATGAGCCTCTGGGGACCAAGAGCCACCTCCAGCCCTGCAGCCTGGGCTGGCCTTCCCTCCTTCCCAATCACTTTCCCCTTCCCACACCCTAGATTGAGCAATGCCAAGGACTCCGCGGCGATGCTGCAGTCATCCCACCTTCCCAGGTGACACTGCGCTCCAGGAGCACAAGGTGACACTGCCCCAAGCAGATGTGTGGGGCTGGGCTGCTGCCATTGTTTCCTGAGGGCTCTGCAGGCTGATAATGCCATGGCACGTGGTGCCGATGAAATGTCTCCATTGCTCCACCTCCGGTACACAGTGCAGTGCCTCGCACGTCTCAGGCTTTCTTCAGCCCCTGCCAGAACAGATCATATATTGTCAATCCTTCCTTACATCTGCGATGGAAGAGTCTCATGAAACAGAACAGAAAAGTCCACGCTGAAGCACTCCCCCACTTCTCTTTTTATAACACCCATATCTGGTGCTCTGGGATGTACACCGTGAACGACGACGATGGAAAAATCCCAGGGTATTTTTACACTCTTAGTCTTTGCTTTATGTAGAGTTGTCTGGCAAATGCTTCCCTCCTGTCTGTGGTCAATATTGCAGCCTCTGCTTGCGCTGTGCTTCGTACCTTTATTCCTCTTAGCAGCTGCGTAGCATCACCTGGTTTTGAGAGCAGCTTCCACAGACCCATCCCACCAGCTCAGGCATGGCAACAACACAGCAGACACCTTCTTGGCTCTTGGGGAGGCAGGGTGGGAACACCCACTGCAGAGAGGGGACCGCTTCGGCACTTTGCAGACCCACAGCGTTCGGTTTGTCCTCTCTGTCCTCTCGGTAACCCCATCTCTTCTCCTCTTCCTCACAAATCCTCCTGCTGAGGCTCGTAGGGCCACGGGGCTGCATTGCTATGGGAGGCAGCGGCCGCGCTGTCACTCCTGAGTGCCGACAGGACTGGGTGCTAGGTGCTGTACGAGCACACGCGAAGGCACAGTCACCGTGCGGGAGAGTTTTACCATATTAAAAAGGCAAGTGACATATGGAAGGTGAGGGGAGGAAGCTGTAATCAACTCTTTACCATTTTTACATACACACTTCTGCCTTTTCGTTCAATAATTATAAATAGATCGAGTAAGTGCCAACAGTCCCCATCTGCCCGCAAGGCATGATCTGCTGACCAGTTTGTCTCTCTTAACAGAGGATTTTATTCACCTGCCTCTGCCCGGTTTAGATTTTGGGGTGGAGTGAGAAGGGGGGATTTTTTTTTCCCCTCCCTGTGAAGCTCTGGAGCTCGGGGATGGGTAATATGAAAACAAAACAAAATGATTTGAAGTTAAACCATCTCAGTGTGTGACTCAGAGCTATTCATAGCTCCCTGAAGCCAGCTGCAGCAACGGAGCCAGAAGGATTCTGCCCGTATTATTATTCCAATTACCATCTGAATTAAAAGTTTGAGCAGTGATCAGCCCACATACTGACGGGAGGGGGAGAGAAGAAAGCAAAGAGAGAAGGAGAGAAAGGGAGAGAGGGATTAAAAACAGATAAAAATGGGATCCACACAAAGGTCTCCGGGATGACAAAGTCGGGAAGAGGCACAGAAAGGTGACAGCACCAACTCCTGCCTGCTCCCACACCACCCTGGCGGTCCCTGCTCCGGCCACACAGCCTGGGCTCCCTGGGATCCTAGCAGAGGGGGGTACCCTGCAGGAGGGCTGGTGGGACTGCAGGGGCACTCATCCACTCTCCTCTGCATGACACAGGGCTTGGGGCACAAGAGGCAGGGGCAGGGGAGCAGCCGAGCAGGAAGGTAAGGAAAGCATGCTGCTGGGGCCATGGCTGGGGAGGAGTCCCCACTTTGTCTTGTCGAGTGAGGTGGGTGGGCTGGCATCACAGGGAAAATGAAATGCTCAGAAGGCCCCTGGCCTTCCCTGGGAGTGGTTCTGGGACAAAAAGGAGCCTGCCTTCTGTGGTAGCCAGGGTGCAGACCATGTCCTGGCTGCTCCCGAGGAAGCCCTGGGGCTGACGTACACCCCAGCAGCCATCCTACCAAAGCCATGGACCTGACCCCAAAGGGTTGGTGCAAAATCTGCAAGAGCTGTAAAACTGAAGGCGCTGGGGTGTCCCCGAGGTCCCTATGCCCTGGGTGGCTGCAGTGCACTTAGGTCACCTCCTGCAGCTTCCCAGCATGACTGCACCAGCAAAAAGGGCATTTCCCCTAACACCCACCCCAAGAGCTCCCTTACTGAGCATCCTGCCCTGCAGGAGCCTTGTCAAAAGGCTGCCTCCAGCAGTGTCCCTCCACCTCAGGGTCTCTCCAGCGCAGAACCCCTCCTGACCCCGCGCTGGCCTGGCCGGGAGGACTGCCCAAGTGGGGCATTTCCATGACTTTCGGCTCATCAGGGATATCATCTGACTCCCCACTGTGGCTGCACTCCTGACAGGGAAGGGGCAGCCTGCCAGTGCCTCTGCAAAGCACCCAGCAAGGCAGGCACCTGCAAATGGGTTATGAATGATGTCAACAACAGTGACAGCAACAAAGGGTGAGCTGCTACCCAGGGCAAAGCCTGCTCTTTACCAAGCCCCCAGCTGAGAGAGGCTGCAGCCACGGCTCCACACCGGCTGCTGTGCAAGGGCTGAGTGCTCAGCCTGGCCTGGCTGCTCAGCACTAGCCCATCTACCATAGGGAAAAAGTAATGCACCCACAAAACCCTTGTCCATGCTCTAACACGGAGCCCAGTGGAGGCACCAGCCTCTGAGGGGTCCCAGCTTCCCCCCTTTCAGTCATGCCTAAGGGGCACCAGGAACAGAGCTGAGGGAGTGTCCCAGGTAAGCTGCAGAACCACGCTCCCACAGGGAGCAGATAGACTATTTCACTACAGGTCTGTTGGCCTGTATTGCTGCAGCTTGCTCACTCAGGTTAAACAAACTCACACAAAAGGAACCAAGCCTACATGCCACCCGATGCCCATGGCATGGAGGACCGTCTCCCCCATCCTTCCCCTGCTCCCCAGCTCCACGGCATGGCAGGGGCTGCCAACACGGATGTGCTTGGGTACAGAGGAAAGTAGTGTGAAGCGGGACATGGCAACTGCATCTGCACACTAATACACCTTCAATTTCCCCCCTGCCATCATTGCGGGTCGCTGTGGTACCCCTGCTCACTCTCATTGGTGTCCTGCACACTCACTTGCCTCTTACCCACTGCTGTTGCCTGCAACTTCTGCACTGTCCCCTGCACCCAGACACGAGGCTTTTTCTTGGTGGTGGGAACAATGGGGACAGGAGATGTGATGACTTCTGGGGCCACTGTGTCTAGTCCCATGGCAGGCACCACCCCTCCATAATGCCAACAAGCTTTTGGAGAGATGAAGTGCCTGCCTGTCCTGCCTCTGAGACGCCGGTGCCCTTCAGCCCCTGTGCTCACTATGCTGCTGGCAGAGCCAATCTATATGGCTCTCATGAGGCTACTGGACTGCTTTACCTTCTTCTATAGAGGAGTAGCTTTTGACATTCTCTTCCTGTAAGCCTTTTTCCGACTTGCCCCTCTGTGCTGGTGCCTAAGCAGGCTTCCAGCAAATACCATGACCCAGCACGGAAATGGAGAGGGCAAGAGGAGAGGGGAGAGCAAAGATGAAGGTAGGGGAGGGGAGAACAAGCAGTGGAGAGGCAGATGGGATGAGGCTGGCAGCTCATTGCACTACTGCTGGCACCACTCACCAAAGAGGGAGAGAGAGAGTGAAGAAGGAGGCAGGAGAGGTGCCAAGGTCTTTTCTCTGAGCCCATTGCAGGGGACAGAGTGGGGGACGCTGCCTCCCGCATTTTCACATGGCACCAGGCTTCCTTTCAAGTGTTTCAGGAGAAATGTTGCCATAGAAATAAACCAGCCGTCCAGATTGTGAGGGGCAGGCCCACCGTGGTGGCAAGGGATGGCACAGATATGGGCACAGCAGTGACAGGAGTCCCTGGCCAGCAGTGTGGGGCTGGAGGGTACCATGTCCTCCATCCCCTGCTCCCTCATCTCCAGTGAGAGCAGCTGTGGTGCTGCTGTGCCTGTGTGGCCGGTGCCAGCCCTGAGTGGCATCTTATTCCCAAATACACCGGTGGGTGAATGTTGACACTGCCCCTGCAGGTGAGTTCCCTGCCATCAGGCTCCCAAGAGGACAGTAATGGAGGTAATGGGTCTCTGGGGCAGTAACGACAGGGTCGCCCTGGAGCCAGCTACTATCCCTCACCTCCCTGGGTCACAGCACCACCTTCAGTGATGGAGAACAAGTCTGAGGGACCTGAGGGTGAGAACCGGCTCAAAGGCGGCCTCTGCCCAATCCCGACCCCCCACTGCCAGAGGATCAGCATCTCTCCCGAGGAGGGGCTTCAAGACCGACCACCCCGTTAAAGCCACCTTGTCTGTGAGGAAAAGCACTGCTGGTGCCCCATGGGCTTCCTGCGAAGCACACACACACACACACACACACCCTCCCCCGGTGAGGGGCGCCGGAGCAGCACTGTCGAGGAACACGGCCTCAGCCCGTCGCGGTTTCCCAGCGCTGCGAGGCGGGCGCAGGCGCTGCGCTCCGTGCTCGCCATTCACAGAAACGCCAGCGGGAGGCTGGGGAGCCGCGCGGGTGAGGGAGGGATCGATCGCTAAGACGCGAGCATCCATCCATTGATCCCGGCCGCGCTGTCGGGTTGAGCCAGCCCAGCGCAGTAACGAGGCAGGACAACGGGAACTCGCTGAGGGCAGATTGCCGTTAATTGCTCCGCTCTGCGTCTGCACTGATGTCAGCACGCGGCGGGTGCAGGTACCCAGCACCGTGTCCTCCTCCCCCTTGCTGGCACCCTCCCACCGGTGACACCACCACAGGAACACGGGGTAGTGGCCTGTGGCCAAGGTTGGGGTGTCCAGAGGGGCCAGAGGGGTCCGTCCTGCCGGGAAACTCCATCTTCCCCAGCCACCTCCTCACTTCCTGGCTTTCCTTGTAAACCATGGAGGGTGGCCTCAAGAGTCAAAGAATGCTGCCAGCCCTCTGCCAGAGTCATAACGTTGTGGTGCTCAGCCTTGGCACCGGAGGAAGATGAGAGAGGGAAAAGGGGAAAGGTGAAGGAGAAGAAGCCCTGCTTCCCTCTGGATCAGCCCTCTCCAACTGATCCATACT